TACCGCGTCAAGACCACCGTCTTGCAACTGTTCAAGGCCGGTTTCGAGGTGATCCTGCACTTGCCGGCGTGCCGGGGGATCAGCGAGGAGGGGCGGCGTGCAGGCGGTCAACCACCTGCAACAGGTAGGCGTTGTAATTACCCGCAACCGGGAAGAACTGGCCGCGATGGCCGCGCGTTAAAGGAGTCGCTTCATGAGGCGGGCGTGGCTGCAGAAGAGGGCGGGCTCGTCGGTGCTCTTCTGGAAGCATGGGCTTTCTGGTCATCAGGAGAATTGCCAGCGCCCCGATGACAAGCAGCCCTGCGGCAATGTCGAACGCACTGTTGTAGCTGCCTGTCGCGCTGATCAGGTAGCCCGTCAGGATAGGTGCCAGCATGCCGAAGATGTTCCCTCCTACCACCACGAAGGCCATGGCTCTGCCCACGTCGCCGGAGCTTGGGAGAAGATCGTTGAGCAGCGTAAAGTTCAGTGAGGTAGTCGACGCTATGCCCGCCAGTGTCAGAGAAAAAATGACCACGAGTTGGGTGATGCCTTGTGCAAAAGGAATCAGCACGATGCCGCTGGAGACAAGCATCGAGAGGGCAATGACGTTGCGACGTTTACCGGATGCTGCGCCACTTCCCTTTTTCAGATAGTGATCGCTGAGTTTGCCGAGGCCGATGCACAGCACTACTGCTACGGCGTAGGGGATGGCGGTGAACAGGCCGCTCTTGGCAATCGTCAGGTGCCGGGTGTCTTGCAGATAACTCGGTAGCCAGGTCAGGAACAGGTACTGGGTGTAGACATTGCACCCTTGTGCCAACGCCAGGCCCCACAAGGTGGGGGTCTTGATCAGTTGTTTGAGGCCGTGGGTCTGTGCGTCGCGGCCACCGTTGGTGGCACGACCGTCGACGATCAGGCTGCGTTCCTGTTCGCTCAACCAGGACACTTTTTCCGGCTTGTCATAAAAAAGTACCACGCGAGCAGCCACAGGCAGCCGATGCCGCCGGCAATGATGAACGACACGCGCCAGCCGAACGCTGCGACCAGCGCTGCGAGCACCAGGGAGCAGATGGCCGGGCCCGCGTAGGAGCCGCTGTTGAAGATCGCAGTGATCGTTCCACGCTCTGTACTCGGTATCCACTCGCGAATGACTTTGGCACCCACCGGGTTGCTGACGGACTCACCTGCGCCCATCACCAGTCGGGCTGTCAAAAGGCTTGCGAAGCTCGAGGCCGCGCCCGTGAGGGCCGTGGCCACTGACCAGATAAAAATGCCGATGCCGCCAACGCGCTTGACGCCATATTTGTCAATCAACAGGCCGACCGGTATCAGGAACAGCGCGTAGCTCCAGATGAAGGACGAGAACAGATAGCCCATCCCCACTGACGTCAGGTGAAACTCCTCTGCAATCGGCTTGGCGGCAATGGATAAGGCGATGCGATCCATGTAGTTGATCATCGCCAGCGAAAATAGAAAGACGGCTATCCAGCCTCTTCGGTACGACATGTGTTCACCATTATTGTGATTGTGGTGGGCGCTTAGTCGTCATGCAGGCTAACGAACGTGTCAGGCGGACACATCAGCCAGCGACGCTAAGCTTTAGGCAAAAGTGCACTTTATAAAGATATAAGTCAATTTGCGCTTCATGAAACGATCATGAAACCGACGACTGACCGAGCGTTGTCCAGGAGATCGGCCACGGCGAAGCCGGCGCGACCCATTGGGGCGCACCGGGTGTGGACGTAAGAGGCGGGAGGGTTATTCGAACAGCGCGGGGTCTACCTTTTTCCGGCGGGCCTGCTCCAGGTGCTTGCGCATATGGTCGGCCGCCGCCAGTCGATCCCCGCGCTCGAGGCAGTCCAGAATCGCCAGGTGCTCCTCTGCCTGGCCTTTGCGAGGATCACGGGTGCCGGCTTGACGATATTCCACCAGCCTTCGTAACTGATCGAGGCGGCGCACGGTCTGCTGCAGGAAACGATTGCCAGAACAGGTTGCAAGTGTTTCGTGGAACAGTGAGTTGGCCTCGAACAGCTCCTGGGGCGTCATGGTGAGGTATCCGCCGTTGGCGATGAACGCCTGTTGCTTGCGACAGGCGTTCAATGTGTCGCGGTCAATCTGAAACGTGGGCGCCAGCAGGCCCGAAGGCTCGATAGTCGCCCTGAACGAATAGCTCTCTTCATAGGCCTCCACCGAATCAATCATCGGTAGAAATCGCCACCCCTGGCCTGCGCGTTGCTCTATCCAGCCTTCCTGCTGAATGCGTGAAAGAACGGCCCTCAGCGCTGCCCGGGAAACGTCAAACTGACGCATGAACTCAATTTCCGTAAACAGCTCGGGAAGCTGGCGCCTCAGGCGTAACTCTGCAAACTTGAGGTAGAGCGGATCCTCGCTGCTCTCCATGACTTGCGAGGCGAGGTCGGTGAGTTCATTGCTTGAACGCGCGAGGAAAAATCCCCGGTTGCGGTCGTAGGTCAGCATGCCTTTTTCCACCAGGTGCCCCAAGGCAAACTTGACCGGTGTGCGCGAAACATTGAGCGTTGTGGCCAGCTGAGACTCCACCAGGTGGTGCCCTATTTCAAAACGCTCACGGCGAACGTGGGAAACAATGTCACGCGCGATGCGTGCTTGCAGAGGACTTAGAGGCATTGGATCCCGATTCGGATAGCTGACCATGGAATCACCATTCTAGCCTGTCGTCACGCCTAACGGCAGACACCATTGTAGGCCTCTGCCGGGATGCAGCGTGGGTATGTGGCCTGTTCTAGCGGACTTGATAAAACGGGAATGCCCCAAACAGAAGGCCGCCTGCCAGAAGGCCCAAACTCGCCAGGATGGCCCACTTGAGCGCAAAGCGCTGATGGTCGCCAAGGTCCACCTTCGCCAATGCCACGAGTAGATAAAGTGACGGAACCAGGGGGCTGAGCAGATGCACCGGCTGACCCACAACCGAGGCGCGTGCAATTTCCAGCGGTGTTATCCCGTACTGCGCTGCCGTTTGGGCGATCACCGGCAGAATGCCGAAGTAGAACGCATCGTTGGACATAAAGAAGGTAAACGGCAAGCTGACCAGCGCGGTGAACACGGCCAGGAACGGCCCGAGCGCGGGCGGGATCACCTGCAGCAAGCTCTTGGCCATGGCGTCAACCATGCCGGTGCCGGAAAGAATTCCGGTGAAAATACCGGCGGCAAAGATGACGGCGGTGACGGCCAGCACGTTGGTCGCATGGGCGGAAATTCGCGCTTTTTGCTCTTCGATTGTCGGATAGTTGAGCATGATGGCAATTGCGAAGCCCACCATAAACAGGATCTGGATTGGCATGGCTCCTGCGATCAGGCACGCGATCAAGCCTAACGTCAGAATCAGATTTGGCCAGAACATCCTGGGGCGACGATTCTCATCGCATTCTTCAGTCGACCCATTCCCCAGCGTCACCGAACCCTTGTGGAAGTCATCCAGATGAAGGATGCCAAGGCGAGCCCGCTCGCCGCGTCCGATGACGACGGCTGTGAAGATCAGGCAGGCAGCGCCCATCAGCATGGCAGGGATCATCGGCAGGAAAATCGCCATGGCGTCCACATGCAATGCCGCCGCCGCACGTGCTGTAGGGCCGCCCCAGGGCGAAATGTTCATGATGCCGCTGGCGATGTTCACCAGGCATGTCATGCCCAGCACACTCATGCCCAGGCGCTGGTAAAGCGGCAGGAACGCGGCGCACGCAATCATGTAAGTGGTCGAGCTGTCTCCGTCCAGCGAGACCAGCATTGTCAGCGCCGCAGTGCCAACCGAAACCTTGAGAGGGTCGCCTTTCACCATTTTCAGGATGAAGCGCACGAGCCCATCAAAGAGTCCTGCGTCAATCATGATGCCGAAATAGAGAATCGAAAAGGTCAGCATCACCCCGGTGGGGGCAAGGGTCTTGACGCCGTCGAGCATCATGGCGCCGAGGCCGGCGTAATGCCCGCCGATCAAGGCGAAAAGGATGGGGATGAGGATCAATGCAACCAGCGCCGACAGGCGCTTCGTCATGATCAGGTACATGAAGCAGATGACCATTGAAAAGCCAAGGATTGTAAGCACGGGTGAGCTCCCTTTGTTCTTATGTTTATTTTTTCTAGCACACCTGGCGCAAGGTCGCCGATGGGCACGTCCGATCTCAGGGCTGAGATGAACCGGATGAATCAACATTGACCTATATCATTACAAAGTGCAATATGATCTTCACAAAAACATTGCCCGTACAGCCTGTGAGGATTAACCAATGCCTATGTCAAAGGGTCGAACCGTTACCGCGAACGGAATCGAGTACCGTGTCAGCGATATCCGTGGGGTTGTGACTGACCTGGGGGTGATTACGCGAAGCTGCCCTACAGCTTGCGAATCCTTGCCGAGAACGTCTTGCGTGGTGAGGCGGATCCTGAAGCTGCACTGAAAGTGATTTGCGCCCGCTCCAAAGAGTTCGACATCCCGTTCCGCCCGGCCCGGGTTGTGCTGCAGGATTTGCTGGGTACCCCGGCACTCGTAGACCTCGCCGGATTGAGAGATGCAGTCGCTGAGAAGGGCGGTAACCCACGCCTGGTGAACCCTGTCACCCCAACCCACCTTGTTGTGGATCACTCGCTCAACGTCGAACGTTGGGGCGATGCCAGTGCTCTTGCAGATAACGAGGCCATCGAGCGCGAACGCAATGCCGAGCGATTCCAGTTTCTGGACTGGTGCAACAAGGCTTTCAGCAATCTCTCGATCATTCCCTCGGGCAAAGGCATCCTTCACCAGATCAACCTTGAGCGTCTGACCACGGTTGTGGGCACTCAGCGTCGTGGCGACGAACTCTGGGCGTTCCCGGATACGTTGGTAGGTACTGACAGCCATACCACGATGATCAACGCCATTGGCGTGTTGGGTTGGGGCGTTGGTGGTATCGAAGCCGAAGCTGCAATGTTGGGCAAATCGCTGATGCTGCGATTGCCGGAAATTGTGGGTGTGCGCCTGGAAGGCACCTTGCCTCAAGGTTATCTCGCTACCGATATTGCGCTGGCACTGACCGAGCAGTTGCGCAAGGCTGGTGTGATCGGCTCGTTCCTGGAGTTTTTCGGCCCTGGCGTTCCACAACTGTCGCTGGCAGACCGTGGCACATTGTCCAACATGGCGCCTGAGTTCGGGGCCACTGCCGCGATGTTTGCGATTGATGATCGCACCCTGCACTACATGCGCATGACGGGTCGTGGTGGTCAGCTCTCTGGCCTGACGGAAGCATACGCACGCGCACAAGGGCTGTGGCATGACAGTCTTGGCGATGCGGAATACAACCGCGTTGTGACACTGGATCTCAGTTGCGTTGCGCGTTCGATTGCCGGGCCAAAACAACCCCATCAGCGCGTTGTGTTGGGACAAAAGGCGCCTGCCACAAATCTTCCAACGGGTCTGGACAATGGCTCCGTGGTTCTCGCTGCCATCACCAGTTGCACCAATACCTCCAACCCCCGTGGCGTTATTGCAGCCGGGCTGGTCGCGCGAAATGCCCGTAAGCGTGGACTGAAAAGAGCACCGTGGGTGAAAACCTCATTTGCTCCTGGCTCCAGGGTGGTGTCTGACTATCTTGAAAAATCCGGCCTGAATGAAGATCTGGATGCGCTTGGTTTCAACCTGGTGGGTTATGGCTGCACCACCTGCAACGGCATGTCCGGCCCGTTACTTAGCCCTGAGATTGAAGAAGAGATTCGCACCCGTAAGCTGGAAACCGTGGCTGCGACCTCCGGCAACCGTAACTTCGAAGGTCGGGTTCACCCATTGGCTCGCGAAGTATTCATCATGTCGCCGCCCCTGATCGTTGCCTACGCGATTGCGGGTACCTACCTGATCGATCCGGAGAAAGATGCTCTGGGGCTGGATGAGAGTGGCGTACCTGTTTACCTGCACGAGCTGTGGCCAAGTGACGAAGAACTGACTCGAATCGAAGCCGACAACCTGACCGCAGACCTGTTCGACAAGGCATACGAAGATGTCCCGCGTGAAGCGGGTTTGATTGCCAGCGACTTGCGTGCAGGCGTCAGCGACCAATATGCCTGGCAGGACAGCAGCACGTACATCCGCAAGCCTCCGTACTGGAGCGACGCGGTCACGGCCACGGATACCCGCAAAGATCTCAGCAACATGCGCGTCCTCGCCATGCTGTCGGACAACATCACCACCGACCATATCTCTCCATCGGGTGCGATCCTGCCTGAAAGTGATGCAGGTCAATACCTGCAGTCCCACGGTATCGCTGTTGCTGAGTTCAACTCCTATGGCACTCGTCGTGGTAACCACGAGGCGGCACAGCGTGCGACCTTCGCAAGCCCACGTCTGAAGAACGAGCTGCTCGAAGATGGTCGCGAAGGCCCATGGACGCTGCTGCTGCCTGAAAAAGAAGTCACCACGATATTCCAGGCTGCCGAGGTCTACGCCACTCGCAAGCAATCGCTGATCGTCGTAGCCGGCAAGGAATACGGCAGCGGTTCCTCTCGCGACTGGGCAGCCAAAGGCCCACGCCTGCTGGGTGTTCGTGTCGTGGTCGCGGAAAGTTTCGAGCGTATCCACCGTACCAACCTTGCTGGCCTGGGCATTCTTCCTTTGCAATTTGAGGAAGGCGTATCGCGCCAGAGCCTTGGGTTGAACGGGCGCGAAACCTTCAGCGTCGAGGGCATTGGCGACGACTTCCAACCAGGTGCCAACGTCACTCTGGTGATCGAGCGTGAAACGGGTCAAACCGAGCGAGTCACGGTCGTGAGCCGCCTGGATACCTTTGAAGACGTTCGCTACTTCCGCTGCGGTGGCCTGCTGCCTCAGCTGCTGATCGAAAGCATGAAAAACGCATCCGCCAATTGATGCGGCGCCGATTTGTCGTAGGAGATATCAAATGACTCAAAGACGTATTCCAGCCGTTTACATGCGTGGCGGCTCCAGCAAGGGCGTGTTCTTCCTCGATAGGGATCTGCCGTCTGCCGGCGCAGAACGAGATGCCATCCTGCTTCGCGTAATCGGCAGCCCGGACGTATACGGCAAGCAGATTGACGGTATGGGGGGCGACCTCCAGTACCAGCAAAGTCGTGATAATCGGCAAATCCAGCCGTGAAGATTGCGATGTGGATTACCTGTTCGGGGCTCCAGCCATCGAGACGCCGGTTATTGACTGGTCGGGCAACTGCGGCAACCTGAGCTCGGCTGTGGGGCCATACGCGATCTCTGAAGGGCTGGTAGACGCGCCACGCGATGGCATGGCAGTTGTCCGGATCTGGCAGGCCAATATCCAGAAGCGAATCATCGCCCACGTTCCCATGCGCAATGGCGCAGTTCAGGAGGAAGGTGACTTTGTCCTGGACGGAGTAGCTTTTCCTGCCGCCGAAGTCGTTCTTGAATTTCTCAATCCAGGCGGCTCGGACGGCAGCATTCTGCCGACAGGCAATGCCGTCGACGAGCTGGACATTCCGGGTCTCGGCAATTTCCCCGTCACACTGTTGAATGCTGGTAACCCGACCATCTTCATCGATGCTGCAAAGGTGGGATTGAACGGTACAGAAACTCAAGATCAGGTGAACGGCGACGCACCGTTGCTGGCGCGGCTTGAGACCATTCGTGCTCATTGCACTGTAGCAATGGGATTGGCCGAAAGCGCCGAAGAGGCAACGCGTCTGCGTCCTCATACGCCAAAACTGTGCATGATTGCCAAGCCACAAGCCTATCAAGCAGCGGGCGGAAAGCAGGTAGAGCCAAGCGATATCGACGTGATCGCGCGGATTCTCTCAATGGGCAAGCTTCACCACGCGATTACCGGAACCGGCGCTGTCGCGGTTGCCGTTGCGGCGGCGCTGGATGGCACATTGGTCCATCGCATTGTCGGCGATATCGGTGATCGCCAGGTACGCATGGGACACACAGCAGGCAGCGTGGCGGTAGGAGCGAAAACCGTCCTGGAGGATGGAGCCTGGGTGGTCGAAAAAGCAGTCATGAGCCGCAGTGCCCGCCGGCTGATGGAAGGCTGGGTACGTATCCCCGAAGTGGTCTGACTTGCCAATGTGCATGTCGAGCCCAGGCCGGCATGCACCTATTTGAATAATAAAAACCATTGAGATACCTACCATGAGCTCTTCAGAATTCACAGGTCACCTCATGCATCGCCGCCGATTCGTTCAGCTATCTGCCATTGCGGCAGGAGGGATCGTGGCCGGCTACTTCAACATTCCTGCAAGCGCAGCTTCAACGAGTGACGAAAACAAAATGGCGAACAATAAAGCCGCTCAGACTCCTCGGTTTGCCTATGTCGGATCCAGGACAACCAAAGAGCGAAACGCACGCGGCGCAGGCATCACAGTCTATCGGTACGCCCCCGACACCGGAGCCTGCGCGCTCGTACAAACGCTGAATGATTTGGTGAACCCCTCATTTCTGGCCTTCGATCAAACGCAGTCTCATCTTTACTGTGTTCACGGTGATCAGAGCGAAGTGAGCGCCTTTGCCATCGACTCACAGACGGGTGAACTGACCAAGCTCAATACCGTCGGTACTCAGGGAAAAAATCCTGTCCACCTAAGCGTTGATCCCACCAATACATTTTTGGCCGTCGCCAATTACGCGACCGGCAGCTTTGCCTTGCTTCCTATTCAGGCTGACGGCAGCCTGGGTGCCGTGGCCCACGTTGAATACTTACCAGGTGAACCTGGCCCTCACAAAATCGAGCAAGGCAGCAGCCATCCCCACATGATTCCATTTGATCCGTCAGGGCGCTTTTTGGTTATTCCCGATAAAGGCCTCGACGGGATCTTTGTTTATCGCGTTCGAAACAATAATGCCAGGCTGGAAGCGACGCAGGTCAGCATGGTCAAGGCGCGAGAGGGGCAGGCCCACGTCATATCGTCTTCACACCTGACGCCCGGCATGCCTATGTCGTTAATGAGCTCGACAGTAGCGTCACCGGTTACGCCTACGAGGAAGAAAAAGGGACGCTCACGGCAAAGGAAATTCTGTCCACCTTGCCATCGACGTTCACAGGCAATAGTCGGGCCGCAGCGATTGCCATCGCACCTTCCGGAAAGCATCTGTACGTGTCGAACCGTGGTCACGACAGCGTGGCTATCTTTGCAATCAATGAAGGTGGCGAGTTTGTTGCCAAGGGGCACATTCCCTCACAAGGTCGTAAACCACGCTTCATGAATTTGACGCCGGATGGTGCTCGCCTGTTTGTTGCCAACGAAGAGACTGACGACATCGTTGCATTCGACGTTGACGCGAGTTCAGGTGGCCTTGCCGCAAATGGCCAGACGATCAAGACCGGCAGTCCGGTTTGCATGATTTTCAAAACGACCTGACTGGCGGATTAGCCCTGGGCTGGAGTACCTACCTTGTTCGAACTCTTGAATTCGCCAACGTTCTGGTTGGCAGTCGCGCAAATTATCGCCATCGATATTTTGCTGGGCGGTGACAACGCGGTCGTCATTGCCCTGGCTTGTCGCAAGCTCCCAGAGGCTCAGCGAAATCGCGCCATTATTGGAGGGGCGCTTGGCGCCATTGTGCTTCGAATTGTGATGATCTTCTTCGCATTGCAATTGTTGGCGTTGCCTTGCCTCAAGCTCATCGGCGCAGCGCTGCTTCTCTGGATTGGTATCAAGATGCTGATTCCCGAGGAGGAGGGCGCACACGACAACCTTGCAGCCAGTCCTCGCCTGTGGGGGCAATCAAAACAATCATTGTTGCTGACGCGATCATGAGCCTGGACAACGTTGTTGCGGTTGCAGGGGCATCCAATGGCCGCCTGGAACTTGTGATTTTCGGCATCGTCGTCAGCATCCCGATCATCATTTGGGGCAGCAAGCTGGTGCTTCACTTTATGGACCGATTTCCACTGGTTATCACGCTCGGCGCGGCGTTGCTTGGATGGATCGCGGGAAGCATGGCTGTCAGTGACGTGGCTCTTCCAAGTCTGCCGTCTTGGTCGCATTACGCGGCCGGGTTTGCCGGTGCGATGCTGGTGTTGATTGTCGGGAAGCTTGTGAGCCGTCGACAACGAGGCAATTGCGATACATCTCCAGGGCATGAAAAGGGTGAGCGGTCGTGAGTTTCGATATTGTTGAAGTGCGTGGTGATTTGGCTCCAACCGGGAAGCTCCGCGTAGCCATTAATCTCGGTAATCCAGTGTTGGCCCAGCGCGATGCAGCCACTGGAAAATTGGGAGGTGTCTCAGTGGCGCTTGCAAATGAATTGGCGAAGGAGTTGGGGGTCGCCGTCAAGCTGACTTCATACGACGCGGCCGGGAAAGTGTTCGCTGCCTTGGAAAGCGGGACTTGGGATTTGGCGTTTCTTGCCATCGAACCTGTACGCGCGGAAAAGATCGCCTTCTCCAGTCCTTATGTGAGCATTGACGGCACCTACCTTGTTCGTGAAGAAAGCCTCTACCAAAGTGCGTCTGATTTGGATGCGCAAGGTCTCAGAATTTCTGTAGGCCAAGGTGCCGCCTATGACCTCTATCTCTCACGCACCCTGCGGCATGCTGAACTCGTTAGAGGGGAGACTTCTGCGAGTGCTGTTGACCTTTTTCTTGAGCTTGAGCTGCAAGCAGCAGCGGGGGTTCGACAGCCATTGGAGCGGTATGCAAGCGCACATTCAGGAGTAAGAGTGCTGGCAGACAACTTCACGGAAATCCGCCAGGCGATGGCCGTCCCCAAGGCACGCAAAATCGCTGCCGAATACATCGAGGACTTTATCAGCCGTCTTGTGGGGAATGGCTTTGTAGCCAGGGCGCTGGCTGACAGTGGCCAAAGCGATGCAAGAGTTGCATCGCCGATTGTCCGGCTGGCACCCAAATAGCGAGTAATCCTGCGAGACGACGTAACTGATTGCCCTGTCGATGATTCAAAAAGCGACCGTATCCTCAATGTTGAACTGCGCGAGCGAAGCTTGTCGATCCGACCCTCAAAAAATATCAGCTATGCATATATTATACGATTGATGATTTTGAGATACCTTTGCTATGATAGGTGCAACCGCGGGACAACCTCGGTGTTGTCAGAGTAGCCAGTTCTTCGTATTGAGCTTCCCCAAACCCCTCCAGGGAAGCTTCACAAAAACGAAGGTATACGAAAATAAGTATTGGAATACCGGCTGTCATTGGCTGGAGAGAGGTAGGTTGATGCCAACCGTTCGCGTCGAATTGAGCCCGGGTCGTAGCCACGACCAGAAGTCTCGGTATGTAGAGCAAGTCACGCGTTTGACGTCTGAAATACTGGGCTGTCCGGTCGAGAGTGTGGATGTGATGTTCGTCGAGATCGCACCTTACGACTGGGCTCGTGCGGGCAGGTTCTTCGGAAAAGCTCCCGATGCCGACGGCCAGTAGTAGCCGTTGAAAAGCCACAAGAACGATTCCGGTTGCGCAGGCGTTGAGTGAGGCCTGCAATGTGCTGAGGTAAGTGTATGAGTCGTCGCCTTGATGCATCTTTGTTGGGTGAATCCCTCAGAATGCCAACGTCCCTTTGGTCTGCTACGGCGATCGATGGGCCTTCGCTACAGCCTCTGGATCGAAACGAGGTGGCGGACGTCATTGTCGTGGGGGCCGGGTTTACGGGTCTTAGCGCAGCTATTCACCTGGCTGAGGCGGGTCTTTCCTGCATTGTCCTGGATGCCGCTGAGCCAGGTTGGGGGGCTTCTGGACGCAACAACGGTCAGGTGATAGCGGGTCTTAAACAAGATCCCGACATCATCGAGCAGGTGTACCCGGGCGAGCAGGGTCGAAAACTCGTTCAGTTCGGTAGCGAAGCTCCGGCACAAGTCTGGGATCTGATCGATCGTTATCAGATCGATTGCGCACCGAATCATCGCGGTTGGATTCAGCCCGCTTTTACCCGCGCTGGGTTTGCGGCAGTCAAGGCGCGTTGTGAGACCTGGCGGCAGCGCGGCATCGATACCCGATTGCTTGAGGGCGCTGAGTTGCATCAGCTTCTTGGCACGCGCAAATACAGTTTGGGTTGGCTTGACCCTCGCGGCGGGTCGATTCAGCCGCTGAGTTATGCGCGTGGCCTGGCCAGCGTTGCAGTCTCGTTGGGTGTTCGTATTTATGCCCCGTCAAAAGTCGACGGCTTGAATCGCACCGAGAACGGGTGGCGTGCTGCCTGCGGTCAATTTCAGGTCAAGGGCCGTCATGTGCTTGTGGCAACGGGTGCTTACGCTGAACGACTGGTGCCGAAGTTGCGCACGTCCTTTGTGCCGGTACGGACGGCTCAGGTTGCGACGCGCCCACTGCCTGATGCCATGCGTAACGCCATACTGCCCCAAGGGCATGTCTCATCGGATACTCGGCAGTTGCTGACCTCTTTCCGACTGTCACCCGATGGCCGCCTGGTGATGGGGGATCTGGCGCTACCGCTGGCCTTGACCATTCGGCGATCGTGCCTTACCTGCACAAGGCCGGGGAGGAACTCTTCGGTCATCTTGGGCGCATTGAGTGGGATTTCCAATGGAGTGGTTTCTTCGCAGTCACCACCGACCATCTGCCCCATGTTCACGAGCCTGAGACCAACCTGCATGTTTCTGTCGGCTGTAACGGCCGCGGCATCGCGGTCTCTACGTCGTTGGGCATTCAGTTGGCCAAGCGAATTCTGGGCATGTCCGAGCAGGAGCTTCCTGTTCCGGTTTCGTCCATTGGAACTGTCCATTTCCATTTGTTCCGAGGGCTCGGGGTGAAGGCAGCGACGATGTACAAGCGATTGCAGGATCGTATGGAGTGACTGTTGCGGTCAGACAACGTTCTCCCGTATGGCGTGACGAAATGAGCCCTGCACCTCGCGCTGGGTCTGCTCAATGTGCTTGCGCAACAGTGCCACCGCTTTAGCAGTACCGCCCTGTTCGCAAGCTTCGAGGATGTCGATATGTTCTTGGTGAGAACGCCCATGACCCGCAACACCGGAAACCCTCAGGCGCAGCATGCGGCCCATGTGGTCTTGCACCGAGCGAATCATGGCGACCAGGCGGGGACGATTAGCGGGTGCATAAAGGCAGGCGTGAAAGCTCATATTGAGGTCACTCCAGTCTTCCTGAGTCATGGCTTGGTCGTACGCTGCCAGAAGATGGCGTGCCTTCGTGAAGTCGGAGGAGGCCATGTTTGGGACTGCCAATTCCAAGGCACGACACTCCAGAGCCAGGCGCATGTCCAGCATCTCAATGTAATCGCCAATCGTAAGTATTGCCACGGTAGCGCCGGCGTTGGGAGTGAGTACCACCAAGCCTTCAGATTCAAGTCGGCTGAGGGCTTCTCTGACAGGAATCTTCGAGACACCGATTGCCTGAGCCATTTCATCTTGGCGAATGGGCGCACCTTCAGCCAGGGAGCCGTCGGTGATTCGTCTTTTGATTTCCTCATAAGCCTTTTGGGCGGCAGTGACAGCTTTTTCGGTGTTGGCATGACTACTTGAATCCTGACTGAGTGCCTGGCTTAGGTTTCATTTTTTAAAACCATCAAAGTATACCAAATCTCAATTTTTAATAAATTGTTGAGATTTCGATTTTCAATAATGTGCTGCGCAACTGCACTAATTTGACAGGAAGAGCTAATGAGCACCTCTACCACGACGACCGTCGGCGTCAAACTCTCCTCTGAAATTCGCGAGCGACTGCGCTCTGCCGCTCAGGCTAATGAACGCACCCCTCATTGGATCATTCGCCAACTGATCTTGAGTTTCATCGAGCGTTCCGAGAGAGGGAACCGGTCACCGATATGCTGAATCTGGTGTCGCCCAAGCATGCAGAGGCATTTGCTGAAGTGCTGGATGAATACAGCCACCGTCGGTACCAGCCTTTCCTGGAGTTCGCAGAGTCCATTCTTCCCCAGACGATTCTTCGTGCGGCCATCACCTCGGCCTATCGTCGTCCGGAAATTGAAGTCGTGCCTATGTTGTTGGAGCAGGCACGTCTTGGTGAAGAGCAAAGCCGTAAGGTGCTAGGACTGGCAACACGCCTGGCCGAAAAGCTGCGCAATCAGAAAGGTTCAAGTGGCAGGGCAGGTCTTGTACAAGGTTTGCTGCAAGAGTTTTCGCTGTCATCCCATGAGGGTGTTGCACTCATGTGCTTGGCTGAAGCCTTGCTCCGCATCCCTGACAAAGGTACTCGCGATGCGCTGATCCGCGACAAAATAAGTGCAGGTAACTGGAGCCAGCACCTTGGGCAGAGCCCATCCGTATTCGTCAATGCTGCGTCCTGGGGCCTTTTGATCACCGGCAAACTGGTGTCGACCCACAATGAGTCAGGCCTGTCGAATTCATTGAATCGCATCATCGCGCGGGGCGGTGAACCCGTGATTCGTAAAGGCGTAGATATGGCCATGCGCATGATGGGCGAGCAGTTTGTGACAGGCGAAACGATCGCTGAGGCACTGGCGAACGCAACTCGCCTGGAGGCTAACGGTTTCCGCTACTCCTACGACATGCTGGGCGAGGCTGCTCTGACCGATGCTGATGCACAGAAATATCTGGCGTCTTACGAGCAGGCCATCCACTCCATTGGTAAAGCGTCGAATGGCCGTGGAATCTACGAGGGGCCGGGCATCTCGATCAAGCTGTCGGCCCTGCACCCGCGCTACAGCCGAAACCAGTACGAGCGGGTCATGGAGGAGCTTTATCCACGCCTGCTGTCTTTGGCCTTGTTGGCCAAACACTATGACATCGGTATCAATATTGACGCAGAAGAAGCCGATCGCCTGGAAATCTCTTTGGATTTGCTCGAGCGCCTTTGCTTCGAGCCTTCTCTCTGCGGTTGGAACGGTATCGGGTTCGTTATCCAGGCTTATCAGAAGCGTTGCCCTTACGTTATCGACTATGTCGTTGACCTGGCCAAGCGCAGCCGCCACCGCCTGATGATTCGCCTTGTAAAAGGTGCCTATTGGGACAGCGAGATCAAGCGTGCTCAATTGGACGGCCTTGAGGGATATCCGGTGTACACCCGCAAGGTTTATACCGACGTCTCCTATCTGGCCTGTGCCCGAAAGCTTCTGGCCGTGCCGGAAGCCATCTATCCGCAATTCGCAACTCCACAACGCTCATAGCCTCGCGGCTATATATCAAATCGCCGGCCAGAACTATTACACCGGGCAGTACGAGTTCCAGTGCCTGCATGGCATGGGAGAGCCGCTTTATGATCAAGTCGTAGGGAAGGTATCTGAAGGCAAGCTCGGTCGTCCTTGCCGGATCTATGCGCCAGTAGGCACCCACGAGACGCTGTTGGCGTATCTTGTCCGTCGACTCTTGGAAAACGGTGCCAACACCTCCTTCGTCAACCGCATTGCTGATCACTCGGTATCAATTCAGGAACTGGTTGCCGATCCAATCGCCTTGGTCGAAGGTCAAGGCGCCAAAGAGGTAGGGTAGGCCTGCCACATCCTCCGCATTCCTTCGCCTTCGGAGCTATTTGGCGAGTCTCGCAAAAACTCCTCTGGTATTGACCTCTCAAACGAGCATCGCTTGGCTTCCCTGTCCAGCGCGCTCCTGAGCTCAAGCCATGAGGTGTTTGAGGCCAAGCCGATTTTGGGTTGTGCAGTCGACACCGCCGTCATGCAGCCGGTGCTCAATCCCTGCTGATCGACGCGCAGTTGTAGGGCGAGTGCAGGATGCCACCGAGAAAGACGTGGATAACGCGTTGCAGTGTGCTGTTGCCGCAGGGCCCATCTGGCAGTCCACACCAGCACAACAGCGCGCCGCCATCTTGGCGCGTGCAGCTGATCGGATGGAAGCGCAGATTCAGCCACTTATGGGCTTGCTCACCCGGGAAGCCGGCAAAACCTACGCCAATGGCATTGCCGAAGTGCGTGAGGCTGTCGATTTCCTGCGCTACTACGCAGTGCAGGCCGCTCGCGAGCTGGACAACGATAACCACCGTCCACTAGGCCCGGTGGTATGCATTAGCCCTTGGAACTTTCCGCTGGCCATTTTCACCGGTCAGATAGCGGCCGCTCTGGCAGCGGGCAATCCCGTTCTGGCCAAGCCCGCTGAACAGACCCCTCTCGTGGCCACCCAAGCCGTACGAATTTTGCTTGATGCAGGTATTCCAGAAGGTGTGCTGCAGCTTTTGCCAGGGGATGGTGCCCGCGTAGGGGCCCGACTGGTCAATGATGCTCGTATTCGCGGCGTCATGTTCACCGGCTCGACCGAAGTCGCCCGGCTCTTGCAGCGTTCGTTGGCGGGTCGATTGGACTCACAGGGTCGAACGCTGCCATTGATTGCCGAAACCGGTGGCCAGAACGCCATGATCGTCGACTCATCGGCGCTCACCGAACAAGTTGTTCAGGACGTTGTGGCGTCGGCATTCGACAGCGCCGGTCAGCGTTGCTCGGCACTGCGTGTCCTGTGTGTTCAAGAGGACGTTGCTGACCGCGTTCTGGAAATGCTGCGCGGTGCGATGGCTGAGTGTCACGTGGGTAACCTCGAGATGCTGAACATCGACGTGGGCCCGGTAATCGATGGTGAAGCGCGTGACATGATTGAGCGACACATCGGCGCCCTTCGTCAGAAGGGACGTAAGGTGTTCCAAGGCACACGCATCCATGCTGACTCCACACACGGTACCTTCCGTCCCCCGACTGTCATCGAGCTTGAGGATTTTGACGAGCTTGAGCGCGAAATCTTCGGCCCGGTCCTGCACGTGATTCGTTATGCGCGCAAGGATCTGCCTGCGCTGCTGGAGCAAATCAATGGAACGGGCTATGGCCCTTCTCTTGGCCTGCACACACGTATTGATGAAACCATTGCCTCGGTAGTAGGTGGCGGGCATGCCGGCAACATCTACGTAAATCGCAACATAGTTGGCGCGGTGGTAGGGGTGCAACCGTTCGGCGGCGAAGGACTTTCCGGAACGGGCCCGAAAGCAGGGGCCCCTCTATCTGCTGCGCTTGCTCTCCAATTGCCCTGCCGACTCTGCCAGCAAGGTACTGAATCGACGTGACGTCCACGGTGAAGCGGAGTCCGAAGGTCGTCAGCGCCTGCAGGTGCCTTTGAAATCTCTAATCGCCTGGGCTCAAAACCAACCTCCAGAAGCGGTTGGAGCCCTCATTGAATTTGTTCGCTTGTCCGAGAGTGGTACCACTCGAGTGCTGCCCGGCCCTACTGGTGAGCGTAATACCTATTCCATCCTGCCTCGCAACCGGGTGCTTTGCCTGGCTGAACGCAAGAGCGATCTCCTGATCCAGCTGGGCGCCGCATTAGCTGTCGGCGCAGGCGTACTGCTTTGCGAATCCACCGGTGATATCTACCCATTCGTCAAACAGCTACCGACAGATGTGCAGGCACGCATCGATATCACTGCGGATTGGACGAGCGACACGGCTGACTTTGATGCCGTTATCTACCACGGCGACTCGGACAGGCTACGCCAGGTATCTCAGGCGATCGCAGTTCGCCCCGGAGCAATCATTGGTGTTCAAGGTCTGGAAGCGGGTGATACGGCAATCAACCTGGAGCGCTTGGTGATCGAGCGTGCTGTCAGTGTCAACACGGCCGCTGCCGGTGGTAACGCCAGCCTGATGTCGATCGGCTGATTTGAAATCAGTAGGAGGTAATTGCGATGAAAGCGTTGTTTCTAGGTTATGGAAAGATGGGGAGTGCACTCGGCGAGGCGTGGCTTGCGAACGGTCTGGTAGATCGTCTCGTCGCCATCGATCCAGGTCACCCTCAGGGGTGGCTGCAACGGTCATCGGCAGCCCAGCGCAGATGAGTGAATCAGATTTCGATGTTGTGGTTTTGGCGGTGAAACCTGCGATGGCTCGTGAAGCCATTGGGTCCTTGCCGGGCACAGTCTTGTCACGGGCTGTTCTGGTGTCGGTGATGGCTGGTGTTGGATGTAGCGAAATGAGTGACGCAGCGGGCAATTGCGCGCCGGTGGTTCGCGCGATGCCAAATACAGCCGTCATGGTGAACCAGGGATGTACGGGCCTCTTCAGCACCACGCTCGTGGACCCGGCAAAGCGTGGGCAAATCCAAAAGCTGTTCGAAGCTGTCGGCATTGCCGTATGGCTTGAGCGCGAAGCTCAGGTAGATGCGGTCACAGCCATCAGCGGTAGCGGCCCAGCTTATTACCACTTGTTCAGCGAAGCCTTGGCAAACGCAGGTGTCGAGCTTGGCCTGCCCATCGAGTTGGCGCGTCAACTCGCGGCCCAAACAGCCCTGGGTGCCGCAACGCTGCAATGCCAACCACAGGCTGACTTTGCCGCGTTGCGCGAGGCAGTGACTTCGCCAAACGGAACGACAGCGGCCGCCATCGCCAAGTTTGAAGAAAACGATCAGCTCCGACGACTTGTGATGTTAGCCGCGCAAGCCGCTCATGCCCGGTCAGTAGAACTGTCGGGTCAGTCTTGAGTCGTGACGATGTACCTAAGTCGCCAGTTATGAATGGACGGCGCCTAACAACAATAAACGGATTCCACCAATCCTCGACTGCCCCGACATTTGTGATACAGCGCATAGGAGTACAAGAAAATGATCACAACACACGATACAGATCGCACGCCCTTGGCTGACGAAGCGGTAGAACCAGGGAAAATTCCTTGGTACAGGAACATGGCCATTCAGATGTTGGTCGCTCTCGTAGCCGGGAGTGCCGTAGGGGCACTCTTGCCACAATTTGCGAGTGACTTGAGCCCTCTGTCGGCGGCCTTCATGAAGCTGATCAAAGCCTTGGTTGGCTTGGTTATCTTTCTAACCATAGTTCAGGGGATCGCCAACATTGGTAAGGGCGCCAATGTTGGCCGTCTTGGCTTGCGAGCGATTATCTACTTCGAAGTCTTGACGACGCTCGCTATGGCGATGGGTCTACTGGTATCCAGGTTGTTCGAGCCCGGTGCGGGCATGAACATCGATTACCACACGTTGAATACCAACGCGATTTCATCGTTCGTTGCAACCGCGGAGCATCGCACTACGGTCAGCTGGTTGCTTTCAATTATTCCCGACACATTCCTGTCGGCGTTTATCAATGGCAACCTCTTGCCTATCTTGCTGATGGCAGTGATGTTCGGCATGGCCCTGTTGAAGATGGGGGCGCGTGCCAGCAGTCTCGTGGACATGATGGAAAAAATGTCCGAAGCAGTGTTTGGTATGGTCGGCATGGTCATGAAGTTTGCACCGTTGGCGGTGTTCGGTGCGATCGGTTACACCATCGGCAACTATGGATTGGCATCCATGGTTCCGCTTTTGAAGTTCCTGGTATTGTTTTATGCCTGCTGCGTTGTGTTCATCGCACTGGTGTTGGGGTCTGTATGCCTATACACACGTGTGAGTCTGTGCCGATTGATCATGTACTTGCGCGTGGAGATTTTATTGGCTTTTGGCACGGCTTCGTCCGAGGCAGTGCTGCCCAATATCATGAAAAAGCTGGTTGAAGGTGGTGTAAAGAAACACGTGGTTGGTTTTGTTATTCCAGCCGGTTTCTCGTTCAACCTTGACGGTTCATCCATGTACTTCGTCATGGCGATTATGTTCGTCGCTCAGGCCTGCAACGTACCGCTTACGCTCTCTCAGGAGCTGAGCATGATCCTTGTCTTCATGTTGACATCGAAAGGCATTGCGGGGGTGGCGGGAGCTGGCTTCGTCACTTTGGCGGCCACGCTACAGATGTTCCCCAAGTTCCGCTCGCCGGCATCGTATTGCTGCTGGGTATCGATCGTTTCATGGACGCCATGCGTACCGTAACGAACATTATTGGCAACGCCGTTGCGGACGCTCACTCGCGAAGATGGAGGGTGCCCTGGATTATCAGATGTTGAATAAGGTACTCCAGACCTCTCCTAAATAACCCCTCCAGCGGCTCCCCGTTCCGAGATGGCGAGCCTCGTCATCTCGTCTATACACAGGATTGAAAGGAAAGAGAAAATGACTGCAAAAGTCGGACGTGTAGACCATCCAGTAGTGGCTGTTTACGATCTCACAACCACCCGTGCCCAATATCAAAAACTGGGCTTCGTGGTACTGCCGAGTGGCAAGCATCAGGAGTGGGGTACTGAGAACCTTGCATCATGTTTGCCGACGATTACCTGGAAGTCCGTGGTATTGGCGATCCGAACAAGTTTCTCGCCGGCGTCGATAAGTTTCTGGAAAGGGCGAGGGTCTGTATAGCGTTGCCTTCAACGCCAAGTCCGCAGATGAGAGCTACAGGGCAGGCATTGAATCCGGTATTGGCATTGAGCCGCCTAAGGCATTAAACCGAAAATTGGTGCTTGAAGACAAAACCCTCGACCTGCATTTTCGCACCGTGATGCTGGATCACAGCTTTATCCGGGCCTGACCCACGCGAACCTCTGCGAGCACCTTACAGCGGACACCCTGCGTCAGCCGGGTTGGTTGGATCACCCGAACGGTGTCATCGCATTTGGTCGCCTGGTTGGTGTGGTGACTGACTTTGATGCCGCTGGAAGCTGCGTACAACAAGCTCCTGGGGCAGAGAACGTTCGTCGCGAATCCGATCGTATTTGGCTGAATTTCGGTGAGGGCGCTGATATCGAACTGATCACTCCTGCCGAATCCGCACAGCGTGGCGATGCCGACTCTGCGTGGCGAGGCTTACCTGGCTGCAACATTAGTGGTTAAAGACATAGAGGAAACTGCCCAGATTCTTTTACACCACACCACCACTTACCACCCCCACTACCCCCTTTTTTTTTTTTACCCCTTTTTTCTCCTCCTCTCCCTCTCCTTTTCCCACTACTCTATCTCTTCTCTCACCACCCTCTTCCCTCTCTCTTTTCTCTCCTTTCCCTCTTTCTCATTCCCCTTGCTCCCTATGTATATTCCTTCCCTCTCCACCCTTTTTCCCTTCTCTCCCTCTTTCTCTTTTCTCTCTCTCTCTTTCTTTCTCTTTATTCTCTCTG